TATTAAAGTAAACACTGTATAAGGAATCTCATGAAAACAAATTAGGGCAACACATTAATCATGTCTTCCTCTTATGGAAGGGAAGTGAATAGATTGGGGGAAAATTTGTACTGAATTTTGGTTAGTTATTTGTGGGGTTCATTCTCTTTGGAACCATTCTTAAATTCATTTTATTGCATTTGTTTAAAACAAATGCTTTTTCCATCTTTCTCCCAAATATTCAATCAATTTTTGAGAATTTTAATAATTATTATCAATTTGTAGTGACTCCAAATCACTATCCAGTGATTTCATGCAATTAAACAATGAACAGGTCTGGTGCCCTGTTACATTCTTGGTCAATACACTCATTATTACTATTATTTTATTATTAGTTTTATTTAATCTTATATTGTCACTTTTTATCCCAACACTCTGGCTCTATACACTCTTCATTATTAGTATTATTTTATTACTAGTTTTATTCCATCTTATTATTATTGCTTTTTATCCCAACACTCTGGCTCTATACACTCATTATTATTATTATTATTTTATGACTAGTTTTATTTCATCTTATTGCTATTGCTCTTATTGAAGTTTTTAAAGTCCCTGTTACTCACATTTTCCTGACATCATTTTCAACCAACCTCCTTATTTTTTTCATATATTCTGATCATATTTTTTAATTTCAGATGAATGCCTATAAAATTTAATGACAGCTTTGAATGAAATTTTTGCTTTCCATCAATCATATCCCGATGAAAAAGATTTTGTCTTTTTTTCTTCTCCTAATTTGAAAAGCTTTAAAAGTTTCAAAATATAAAAATGTATATATCTGTATGTTTTTTATGTAAAATAAAAATAGACTGTTTGGCCAGAAATTATTAAGAATTGTAGATGAAAAAAAAACAAAAAAAAAACGAAATCCCAAACTGAGAAAAAGGACATCAATAGTTTGCAGCTATGAATAGTGAAAGCAGTGTTTAAAACTTGGCGTTTGTAAATAAAAACAAAGTACAGATAACTCTGGATGACATCTTCTGCTATTCCAATATGCCTTTGAATCTCTGTGCCACATTTTCTGTCATCTGTTATGACATGATCAAGACAGTTACACTTTTGTACCTACTTTATTTTGGTGTCTTATCTCAAATATTGGACTGTTCCTCTGGTTGATCATCCGTTTCTAGAGGGTGTGTCAGAAATACATCCCAGATAATGCCAAGACATTAGTGGCAACTAGCCAAATCCCTTTCTTACGATTATTTCTCTTAATAATAATTCAGCAGACAATGTTAATTTTGGCACTTGCCTTGCTCGGTTTCCATCGTTTGATATTGTGCATCTGAAAAATGGGGCTTTTATCGCAGTCACCATAGCTTCTTATTTTTTTTTGGCTAAGATCAAAATGTAGTATGTTTTTAACAGCTCAATCTGATTCTATCTTTCTTTCACTCACTCCAGTTCTTTTCCTTTCTTTCTATCGTTTTCTTACAGAAACCAAGTAATGTCTCCTTCACCTTTCCATGCAATGAAAATGGAATAGTCCATTATTTACGAGGTATTGGCAGGGCATAACGGCCGTGCAAACTAACCAACAGCAGGACAAGCATAGTTATAATAGGATGGTGTCTTTCTCTAGCCTAATTTCTTACCATTATGTGGGGAGTATATGTTGGAGGAATTTCTGCTGCTTCCTGTGTATAATTTCATATGGAAGCCATTTTTGATGGTTCCATTTTCTTTTTCTTGCTGCTTCCCTAAGTTGTCTGTTTTTCTGTCTTTGTGATCCTTCACAGTCATTTTTTTTTTATTATTGTCCTGGAATCATACTAAAAATAACTTTAATCATCCTGAATGTTTTTTTTTTTTTTGTTTTTGATTGATTTGTTTTTTATGGCCTATCAACCTTTTGCAGGTTATTTAAAGCCAGAAAATATTTTTAGATGATAAGAATTTGTTTTTTTTTTTTTTTTGAGATAATGACTTAGTCATACACTCTTTACTAATTAATCCATAGCTGGGGGTGGGTAGAAGAAGTAGATTCATACCTTTCCCAAGTGTATTTGTACATACTGAACCCAACTGGAATTGGAACTCAGCTCTCTGATTAACAATTTCGAGTCATTATCCATTACACCACCTACACATCCAAGCTTACAGCTCCTAATATTCCCAAGCAGTCACCCAACTACGAGGCTGGGCTGAAAAGTTCCTAGGCTATGAAGGAGTGATGCTCGAGCTGTGAAATCTTGCATTCATTTCAGCTCTTCTTAGTAATAATGCATCGTTTCTTTTCATATAAACTGAGATTTGTTCAAACAAATTCATAACAAATGACAAAGTTTGAGTCAGATCCAGCTGATTTCCTAACCCAAAATGAGTATGTCACTTTGATAAAGAGATAATTGATGCTTCACCTGCTCCAAAGAGGGCCAAGGTCATTTCATCTGCAAGGAAGGTGATGGTCTCAGTTTGTTGGGATGCAAAAGGCATTATGTTTATCATTGTCAAAAGTACTACACCATCAATGAAGAGTATATATTATATTATGCCTCTTGATTCCTTGGGGAACATAGGGCCACAACAACACCTTTCCAATGGATGCGGTTCCGGGTGATCCTCTTCAGCTTGGCCCATGTTGTGTGGGCTGCCTTCACCTGCTTGGTGACACTAGAAGCAGGCTTGTGGAGTGTGTGGCCGATCGACCCCCAGTTCTGTTTCTTAATGTCAATCTGGATTGGGTCTGGTCTGGTCCTGTCCCACAGTTGATCATTGGATTTCTTGATGTCAATCTCGATTGAGGCTTGTCTGGTTCTGTCCCACAGTCGTTGGAGTTGATTTCCAGCCACCTGATATTGAGGATGTTCCCGAGACATCGATATCAATGAAGAATACAATGCCAAAAAGCTGAGACAGTTATAAAAGGCTATCAAGGCCAAACGCCCATGAAAACTGATGGAAGTGGTGTTGCTTCCTCAGAACAATATTCCAGCAAACATATCTTTAGTTTCAATGGCTGCCGTGCAAGACTGGCTTTGAACTAGTTAATCACTCTCTCTATTCTCCTGATTTAACTATTATCTGTTCTCCAACATGAAAAAAACTTGGCTGGGAACAAGCATCCTAGCAATAACAACATCATATCGGTGTTCATGACATTTTTGACTAACAGGATGAATAGTCTTCTTTGAACAGCCAGATGTCAGTTTAGCTGGAAAGAAACAATGCAATTATTAATAAGTCAAAATTAATGCATGCAATATTTCACAGCTCTAGCATCACTCCTTCATAGTCAGACGATAACTAGGTTTGATATTGCTTAACTTTGCTGATTGTACAGGAACTGGTGCTTCACTGTAATGTAGCAGCAAACCCTTAAAATTTTTAGAACTGTCCCAAAATCAAATGAGTTTTTTTTTTGTTTTTTTTAATCTTATTACCATTTATACAATATGTGTTGTGATATAAGTTTATATTGGCTTTGAATGAGAAATCAGAGAGCCAAGTTTGAATTCTAGTCAGGTTTGTTATATTCACATATGCACAATACCCTTGGGGAAAGGTATGAATCCATCTCTTTTCTCTCCAGCTATGGTTTGAATAGCAGGACAGATTGGATCCTAACCAGTCTACCGCAGAAAGAAATGGCAACCTACTGCAGGAAAATCTTCTGCCTAGCCTGTCATGAACCAAAAGAGACATCACCTAAGTATGTATCACATATGGCATTTAACTCACTGATCATTTATAGTTGTTAATAAAAAAAATATTTGGGGAATAAATCTTTATTTTGATCTGGTAAATCTTTGTTTTTTTTTTTTTGTTTTTAAATTTTAATTCTGTTGCTTCTTCTATGAGCTGCGTTCCTTGAAACTAAAAAACCTGTTTTTGTTATGAATAAACTCCAATGTGTGTGCACGACTGCCCTCATCAGTGATGTTATGACTTGGGGTCATGACAAGTTCCGGGTCTTTTGACATCATACCTGTTCAGCCAAGTGACCCTACCGAAACAATACCTATTTCAGAAGGCGATCCTGAAGCAAAAATCCACCAAGCACACAACAACAGACATATGAAATAACTGCCACTGCTGATCTTGAAATAGCAAGCGACCAATCAGAAATGTCCGACGTCACTTCCTCCTAAGCCAAGATGAGACAAAAAAAAAAAAAAAGAAAAAAAAGAAAAAGAAAAAGAGAACAAACTGAATGCTCGTCTTTTCCCTCTCAGGTCCAACACGTGAAAAGACCCACGCTCTCAACAACATTGCTTGACATAACAGGGAAGTAATTTCTACTTGTTGCCAGGAAGAAAGTTTTTTTTTATCTCCTATGAAACGATACTTCACTATAAAAAAAACAAAAAAAGCACTAACATTCATTGGTCATAGAAACTATGATTAGAAACGTTTCTTCCCCTCCTTTCTCAGACAAAAAAAAGTACCAGAAATACTAAGACGTCGTCGGGGGACAGGTTTAAAAAAAAAAAAAAAATAGAGAAAAGAAATGACCTTCCCCTCAAACAGCATCTTTGGTCACCCCTCCACATATTTCTATTTTCCTTCTCACTTTTTCTTTTTTCCCCCTTTTCCTCTTTTTTTTTTTTCCTTTCTATCCCTTCCAACAATGCCTCCACACCTGCCAATCTCCACGGATCTGATCTTTTAATCCATAGTCACTTTGAGTCTTTTTCTGCAGCTTCTGAAATAGTCCTGATGGCCTTTCTCTTTTTTACTCCCATGACTCCAAGCTGACTTACAAGTTTTGCATACAGATCTTCCTGCAAAACTACGGCATCTAACATCAATCAGAAGACAGGTAGTTCGCCATTTGTTACATCTGCATTGCATTTCTCAACCAGCTCCTGGTATTTTTCCAAGCTTTCTTTCAAAGGCCTCTTCCAAATTCTCTTCCCAGGGTACCCTAAGTTTGAGCATTATAACCTGCCTGGGGACAATTGACCAGATTAATAAATCTGGTTGCAGGGAAGATGTCATTATGTGCTCTGGAAATTTCAACTGGTTCCTGAGAAAGAAAAAAGAGAAAGAAAGAAAAAAAGAAAGAAAGAAAAAAAAGAAAAGAAAAAAAAAGAAAGAAAAAGAAAGAAAGAAAAAGAAAAAGAAAGAAAAAAAAAAAAAAAAAAGAGAAAGAAAGAAAAAGAGAAAGAAAGAAAAAGAGAAAGAAAGAAAAAGAGAAAGAAAGAAAAAGAGAAAGAAAGAAAAAGAGAAAGAAAGAAAAAGAGAAAGAAAGAAAAAGAGAAAGAAAGAAAAAAGAAAGAAAGAAAAAGAGAAAGAAAGAAAAAAAGAAAAAGAAAAAAAAAAAAAAAAGAAAAAAAAAAAGAAAAAGAAAAAAAAAAAAAAAAAAAAAAAGAAAGAAAAAAGAGAAAAAAAGAAAAGAAAAAGAAAGAAAAAAAGAGAAAGAAAAAAAAAAAAAAAGAAAAAAAAAAAAAAGAAAAAGAAAGAAAAGAAAAAAAAGAAAGAAAAAAAAGAAAGAAAGAAAAAAAAAGAAAAAAGAAAAAAAAAGAAAAAGAAAAAAAAAAAGAAAAAAAACTTAAAAAAAAAAAGATGGAAAAGAAAAAGAAAGAAAGAAAAAAGAAAAAAAAAAGAAAGAAAAAAAAGAAAGAAAAAAAAAAGAAAGAAAAAAAAAAAAAAAAAAAAGAAAGAAAGAAAAAGAAAAAAAAGAAAAAAGAAAGAAAAAGAAAAAGAAAAAAAAAGAAAAAAAAAAAAAAGAAAAAAAAGAAAGAAAGAAAAAATTGAAAGAAAAAAAGAAAAAAAGAAAAAAAAAAGAAAGAAAAAAAAGAAAAAAAAAAAAAAAAAAAAAGAAAAAAGAAAAAAGAAAAAAGAAAAGAGAAAAGAAAGAAAAAAAAAAAAAAGAAAAAAAAAAGAGAAAGAAAGAAAAAAGAGAAAGAAAAAAAAAAAAAAAAAAAAAAAAAAGAAAAAGAAAATCAAAGAAAATTAAAAGAAGAAAAGAAAAAAAAGAAAAAAAAGAGAAGTTTCCTTTATTTCCAACAGATTTGTTACAAAAGTTAACTCAGATTAAAGAAATCAAAGTTATTTTTTTACTTTTCTTTTTTAAAAATAAAATTAAAAAAATGTCGATTTTAGAATAGATTTAAAAAAAATAAAATGCTGTAAGATAAGCAAAATTTACCCACCCAACACCATGAAAACTGTGAAGTTACTTCTTGCTGAAAAAAGACATCAATGATGATTGCTTTTGTTTACCTTTGTCTACAACGGACTTGGCACTAGCACTTGATTTCTTGGCCTGAGAGAAAAAAAAAAAAAAAAAAATTAGTCATTTCAGTTCTTGATGGATTATTTTGTGGCAGTCAATCAACTGTTTGCAAATTATTTAAAACCAGAAAATATTTTTAGATTGTAAGACCTTTTTTGAGATAATGGATTTAGTGATACAAGTCTTACTAATTAACCCATAGCTGGAGAGAGAAGAGGTGGATTCATACCTAATCAGAATATGATAAACAAGAAATTATAATGAGGAAATAAATAGGGGATTAATTCTATATTACAATCAATATATAAAATGATCCCTCACTTTGTGAGCATGGTAGTTTCTATGCATCTATATTCCAGAGAATGTAAATAAATCTAAAAGACATGCGATGTAGCTAATTTGATCAATATCTGATTGATTCATGGATTCATTTTCATAAATTAATTAATGCAGGTTTTTAACCTTTGCCACACTAATTTCTGTCTAGAGTTGTCTCTCCTGCCACTGCATTTTTTTTTTTTTCTGAAAAACATGAACAAAACTGTTTTAAAAATTGTTATAATCAAAAGTGTATTGTCTGTATATATTTTAATTTTTGACAAAACTAAAAAAAGAATGGATGAGTAATATTTTGATGTAATGCATTACATTTTATGCATGCATGTTTTGATGTTGAAAAAAAAAATTGAAATGCAAAATAAAAAAAAATAAATAGATTAAAAAAAATGAAATAATTCAACATACTTTAAAATTTTATTACCCTTGCAGACATCTGGGGGTGCAAATTTGAAGCAAAATCCTTAAAAAGGCTTTTTATTTTGTTAAAAAAGTGATGTATCTCCCCGTGTTTTATTTTGTAAGACATAGCATTTGTTTGTTCTTTTTTTTTGATCTTATATTTATTTGTTTCATTGATTTATCAAAAAGAATTATTTTGTCAAATTATAAATAGACAAAATAATTGACCTTCAGAAAAAACTATCAGTATATATTAATGGTTGCCAGTAGCTTCCATAAAATTACTAAGGCATGGATAATAATTTGTAGTCACTAGTTGTCATCACCGCTTTCCTCCACGTCACTAGTGTGGTTATCATTTCAACCAAAGATTTTTCAATATCCACTTTTAGTAAAAGCCTTCAAAAATCATCATCAGAGTCCTAATCAAAGAAAAAACCCTGAATAAAGGCTTTGTTGGATATTGACATATATTTTTCTTAAATAAAAAAAAAATTTTTAATCTTAATTTTTAAAAAAAAAAAAAAAAAAACAAAAAAAAAATAATTTATTTTTTAATCAATGTTGCACCTTGTTAAAGAGTCTAGAATAATTCAAAAAGGCGTTGGAAAATGGAAATTTAACCTTGTTCCAAAAAAAGTTGTAGGCAATTTCCAGCTTAAAATACCGAAAAATAACAGTTGATAAATATTTATTTATAGCAACTGTCTCATTTGACAGAATGCACCTAGAGAGAAAAAAAGGATAAAATTCTTCAAGACTATTGTCACCTTTTTTACTTTTTGTGAATAAATGGTAATTAAACATTTAAAATAATTTTAGACTAATTATTATTTTTTTTTTTTGAGATAATAATGGCATTATGATACAAGCCTTACTAATTAATCCATAGCTGGGGTAGAAGAGGTGGATACATACATTTCCCAAGGGTATTTGCACATAAGTAAATATTACTAACCTCAATTGAAATTGGAACTCAGCTCTCAGATTGACAACTCTGAGCCATTATCCATTACACCACCCACACATCTAAACTTACAGCACCTGGTATTCTCAAGGGGTCACCCATTTAGGTACTGATCAAAAAACGTTGTTTAACAATTAATGACTGACTGTAAACAGCAAAATTGCATGTTTTTTACCCCTTTTTCAGTTCAGACATGAATTCATCAATTTCAGTTTTACATTTCATCTATAAATTCATCATAGTTATAAATAAAATAAATTGATAATACATTTTTCTTTTTATAGGCTATAAAATTCATCAATTTTATAGATGCAAGTTTATCTCACCCTATATCGTTAATTGGTCATGACTTAGATTGAAAAACAACTTAATCAAAATAACCACACTATAAACCTCACATAAGCACTCCCCCATTGCATATTACAGTATTTATGATATGTATAGACAGTATTCTGCTTAGCATTAAGTATGCCTTTTCTTCGAAATTCATGGCCAAAAACCCAAACCCCAACTAAATCATCAATTTTCGATATAACTGAAAGAATGTCAATGGCAGAGCACAGATGTAAACAATCTGAATTAGAAATCAGTTTTGGAGTGGAAAACCACACACAAGTGCCACCGGTTACCAGGAATTTGAAAAAAGAACATCTGCTGAAAATACTTTATTATGCCAATTTTTTTGTTTTTGATATTATATATATATATATATATATATATATATATATAATGTAGTATGTATAATATTTAAATTTATTTAAATATCATTTTATATGTGTTTATTGTTATTTTAGTGTATTGATGTTTCTAATATTTCTTTACACCTGACGTCAACTCTAGTAAAACAACCTAAGATGAGTTTAACTTTTTCAAAAAGACAGACATCTTTGAAAATGACTTAAGCCGAGGTATCACTGTATCTCCAGGGTTTTTTTTAGTTTTTGTTTTTTAAGATGGGAAATAAATCTATTTTTTTTACAAACTTTAGCATTATTAAATGAAAAAAAAACTTTTTATTAAAATAATTTGTCTTAATATTTTTTTTATTTTAAATGTTATGTTATTTACATTAGTAATTTATAGTATCTTAAATTTTTTTTATATTTGAGATGAAATAAATTTAACCATTATTCATTTTTTTAGTATTTCTTTCAAAATTTCAATTTCTTTTTTAGTCATGTTGGTTATTAGTAGCAGTAAAAAATTATCTGGAATTTTTATTAGATGAAGTTTTGTCATCTATTAATTTTTCTGAAATATTTATTTCATCTTAATTTCAATTGCTTTATTCATATTGGTAGTATTAATAATTTTATTTAATTTTTATTTTAGATCTATTTTTTTCCTCAATTAGAAATACCATCTGCAAAGAACTGATTTGCTTACCTCAGCCGAAAGCCTAATCGGATGTGACTCTTTGTTTGCAGGCTGATCCATATCTGATGCATCAGTAGAATTCAAATCCATCATCTGTCTCAGTGAATTTTAAAAAAAACCTATAATTATACTTAGAAAGTCATGAAAAAAAAATTTTTTAAAATTGATATGGTCATAAGAAAAAGAAAGGAGTCTTTTATCAGGAAATAAAAACAGTTCTCACAGATAAACCATTCACTGCTTATATAATGCAATTAATGTTTTTGTTAGTTATTAGTTAACATTTATCAATTGATCAATGGTTTTATTATTAAGTTAAAAAAACACAAAAAAAAAAAAAAAAAAAAATTAATAATAATAAAATATTTAGAACTCAGGTCTCATGGTCAGAAGATTGGTTGAAGCAAGAATATTCCAATCACTTTTCAAATTTCTTTGATTTTATTTATTGAGATTGAATAAGTGGAAATGTTTCATCCAATTTAAATCAAACCTATTTGCTGGTAAAGAATTTTAAGACCCTTCTTATAAGAATCAAGTACTATGGACAAGACAGTCCATCTTAGAAACGAACAGGTGACAAATTATGACAGTATGTCATCCTTTTGCAAGATGGCAGCATCTTGGGCAAAGAGAAATTTAAATATTTACTTTTTGATTATGTGACAACTTCTAATTGTTTGCACAATTTGTTCTGCCTTATGTATAGAACCAGTTCATAAAATATTTGATACTCATTCTTTAAACATTTTTATATATGCATACATTAAAATTTTTCTTATTACTTTTTTTTTTTTTAAAGCATTATGCCCCGAGCAAGGCGTGAAGCCAATAGGATGCAGGGGGTTGCAGAAGATTTGGAACGAGAGCAGATAGGAGTGATAGAAGAAAGGATGAGGAGAGAGATAGTGGGTAGATCAAGGTAACTGGAGATGTCGATTGACATTACATTTGAATAGTTGGAGGTTATAGCTCTCAGGGAAACAGTAATTGGGAAGGGTGTTCCACAGGCGAGAGGTGCAAGGTATGAAGCTATTGGAGTAGAAGAGACGGCTACATTTAAAAGTTTCTACAGTGTAAGGGTGGGAGCGGGATGCCAGCCTCGTAGGGCGCTTGAATTCATGGAGTCTGGGAACCAGTGAAAGCAGCTCATCGGAGCAATTACCATGAAAGTATTTGTAGAAAAGACAGAGAGAGGCGACGGCGCGTCTGTGAGAGAGTGACTGTAGACGAGACGCCAGATCAGGGCCAATTATATTACATATCCGTCTCTGGATCTTGTCAAGAACTCCGAGGTAAACAGAAGGTGCCCCAGACCATATATGGCAGCAATACTCCATGCAAGGGCGAATGGTTGATTTGTATATTTGAAGTATCGATTCTGGGGAGAAAAATTTCCTGGCGCGGCACAGAGAGCCAACTTTCCTCGCGGTGGAAGAAGCAATTGACTCAATGTATTTGTTCCATCTCAGGTCAGCAGTCAACGTGAGACCGAGCAGACGCAGGGAGTTGCTCTCAAGAAGTTGACTATCAGACATTCTAATGGGGGGCAGGGAAGGATCTCTATGGTGATTAATAGAGAGTAGTTTAGTTTTTGAGGCGTTAAAGTTGACCAGCCAATTCTTGCCCCAATTAACAACCGATTGGAGGTCCATTTCAAGACGCACGGCCAGGTTAGTTTTGTCACCGACACTAGATTTGTTTTTGAGGCAGGAGTAAATTGTAGTGTCATCTGCGTAGATGCCAACTTGGGAATCTATGGCGTCAGGAAGGTCGTTGATAAAAATAAGGAATAGAGTGGGGCCAAGGATGGAGCCTTGGGGAACACCTGCGTTTGTGGGATAGGAACTGGAGGAGAATCCGTTGAGAACGACCTTCAATTCTCGGTTTGACAGGAATGATTATATTAGATCAAACAATCGACCTGTAATACCATAACCCTGGAGTTTACGAAAAAGGCCGGCATGCCAAACTCTATCAAATGCTTTGGAGATGTCTAGGGCCACGGCATGAGCCTCACCGTTATTTTGAAGGGCTTGGTAGATGGTTTCAGTGATGGCTGTAAGCACATCAGCTGTAGATCGGACATAGCAGAAACCATATTGCTTGTCTGAGAGCAGATCATGGGATGTAAGGTGGTTAACCACTTCGGCATTGATTAGGGCTTCAAAGACTTTGCCGAAGAGGGGTAGGAGACTAATAGGATGGTAATTAGAGGGGTCAGAGGGGTCTCCAGAGTTCTTAAACACAGGAACAATGGATGAGGACTTCCAACAGGATTCTTTGAGGCAGTAGTTATATAGTTTAGAGAGGGCGCTAGCTCAGGCGCGCATTTCTTCAAGACAATGGCTGGTATGCCATCTCCACCACTAGCCTTGTGGGGGTCTAAATTGGAGATAATGCTCAGTACCAATGACGGGGTTATGTGTAAGCCGCTCAATAGGGCCTCAGTTCTTAGAGAGAAGTCTGGTATGGGTACACCAGAGGAGTCGAGCGTTGAATTAAATGAGAATTTCTGAGCAGGGCATTCAGCCTTGTCGGTAGAGGAGGTCAAGACCCCGAACTGGTTGAATAAAGGAGGTATGGAGGGTTTTCTATTGTTCAGGACACTCTTGCAGAGCTGCCAATAATCTTTGGAGCCAAATTTGCGATATGCAATACGCTCCTTCATCCGAGCAGCAAATATTGACTTAGCTTCGTTGAGGACACGCTTACACTCATTACGGGCGGAGGCAAAGAGACGTCTATTGCAGTCCCACATGTCGCTACGGAATATGTGAAAAAAAGTGGTTCCTGATGGGCAATGGCAGCTGAGCAAGCAGCGGAGAACCAAGGGGAGGAGTGCGACTTGACCCTAAATTTCCTTGAGGGGATGAAAGTGTCGATTCCAGCATTAACCCAGGATGAGACCTCAGAAGCACATTATTGGACTGGGAGTGTAAAGACACAATCCCAGGGGACATCGTGGAGGAAGTCACAGAATGAGTCCCAATCCGCTCATTGATAGTAGAACGAGGTTCTAGTGATGGGAGGTTCTTTGTGGGGTGTGGAGTTGAAGGAAATGTTAACAGATACCATGGCATGATTGGAGTTACCAAGAGGGTAGAGCTGCGTGGCGCTACAAGATTCGGGGATGGAGGTAAAACACAGATCGAGAAGGGAGGCCTTACCTGCTAGGTTGAGGGCAAAACATGTGGGGAAGTTAACTATCTGCATGAGGGATTGAGAAATTGAGAAATTAAGTGTTTGAATGCCAGCCCGGTCAGTAGTAGCATTCTCGAGCCACTTGGTATGATGGGCGTTAAAGTCACCAAACACGAATATGTGAGCAAACGGGTGGAGAGAGAGGGCCTTGTCTATGCTGTCAGATATGCTATCGAGTATCCCACAGTCTTGAGAGGATGGAGAGCGAAAGAGGAAGAAGAGATAGCTTACGGCATTGAGGAGAGATAGTCAGAGACACATGTACGAATGGTCTGGCAATTCAAGTGACAACTCTCTGGCCAGAGGGAGATGGTTTTTGACATAGACACCAAGGCCGTGCATGTGGGTTAGAGAGTCTTTCCTGAGGAAAGGAAGGTAGCCGGGGATCAAGAGATCAGAGAAAGGAATAGACGAGACAAGGTTTTTCTCACACAGAGCCAGTATATCCGGGCAGTTTGCAGTGAGGAGAGATTCCATACTGCAGAAATTTGTTCTAATGCACGCCATGGCACTACAAACACCCTGGTATTATACAACTGTTGATCAGAGGCATTGTTTAGCTCAAGATGCTTTTGTACTCAAGAGTTTTGGGCTCCTAACTACCAGTCGGAAACAGCAACCAGTGAACTGTTCAACCGTGTACCCTCAAAAAATGAAGAGGCAATGCCAACTTAAACATGTCACAGGAGAAACACATCAGCACTAGTACAGAGGCCAGAGAGAGAGAGCTTAGGAACCCCTTCTTAGACAAGAAACAAGGTGTGAGCCTCTGCTCATGTCCAGTAGAAGTGGGAGGAATGTTGACCGGGTGGTAGGAGGGTCTACCTACTCCTATAACAAGTAACAACAAAAGATAAACAGAGGGATAAGGGCGGGGAAGTAGCTGACATAGTGCCCAGGCTGACACTAGTTGTATATTCAGGGGAATAGGATGGAATTTATTAGTATTTTATCCTTACACAACAGTAAGTTTGTCTTAAACATTACATTTTAATGGAAGCACATGTTTCAGTGGATGTCTTATTTTTCTTGATTTTGTTTTTAAAACAGAGTGAATTACATCCACTTGCCTGTGTTTTTGCAAGTCTTAAGCATGTGTTAATCATCTTGGATTTCTGAAAATGGATAGTACCCTAGTGTCTGTCTTCCATGACAACCGAGCTTCAAATGTACCACATTACGTGCTACACACTCTAAGTCAGGAAAGTAGTGGGAAGGAGCAAAAGAAACAAGTTACTAAGTCGGAATTATGAGTATTTTTAGGGTAACAAAACACCCCATGTAACTAACACAGAGTTAATAAAGAAAACCTTAATGTTGCAATGAACAACCCAGTTTCTTTTTTGCAATGAGAAGCACAATTTTACTGATGTCATTAAGCCATCTGTTCTTAACAGAAGGGATCTGAGCTTTTGAGAATCTTAATAAAGAATATGTGTTCACCTTTATTAAAACTCTCAAAATGCACAAAAAACACAGTGTGTTTAATCAAATATGCAAATCCACTAAAATTTAATGCTTAATGTAATAAGAAATAATGATGGATTAAAAATAAGAAGTGGAGATTATGAGGATAAGGAGGATAGATAACAATTGACCCTTGACTTGAAGAGGTTAAGATTGTATTGTAGAGGGTTACTGTTAAAATGGTTATGATGAATGAGGTGGGAGATAGGAATGAAAGAGGAGGTGGTAAGAAGTGAAGATTATGAGGATAAGGAGGATAGATAACGATTGACCCTTGACTTGAAGAGGTTAAGATTGTGCAGAAATTTATTCCACAAAATAGCAGTTCATGAGGGGAAAAAAGCTGTATGAGTGAAACATTCTCCTTACATTTTGAACCTGGGGGAAATGAGAGTGATTCGACCCTGTGGAAGTAGCATGGCATGTCCAAGGTGTAAAAGTCTGAACTTGAGAAACAAAGAATGGAGCGCCCATCTGAACATTTGCCATGAAAAGAATGATAGAGTAACAATAGACTTACAATTCTATGTCTTTGGGAAAGTAATCGTAAGAGCGAAGAAGTCTTGGCACCAACCAGAATCAAACATAACGTAAGCCTTTTTTAATCTCCAGAACTAATTACGCTACAGTTTAGAAAGACAAGTTCCAAATCTCGAGGTTTGACTTACCCATAAATCCTTCGTCATTCAGGTAATTCTTTTTCTTTTTCCTTTTAATTCGTTTCCTTCTCCGACCATCATTGGTTACAGTAACAGATGTTGGCTCTTCTTTCTTGACTTTCTCAATATTTTGTTCCGGGGTATCAGGGATGGGTGCTTCATCATCTTCTTCATCATTATCATCATCTTTTTCTTCTTCCACTTCTTCTGCAGCTGGATTTGGACTGGAAAGAGGTTCTTCCACTTCCATTTCTGTAAGCAGAAAAATAGTGTGATATTATTTTTTTTATTTTTTATACCCGATACAAGGCCCAAGAGCCACACAAGATAGAGGATTACTGAATAATACAAAAGAGAGGGAGGTAATAAGTGCAGTTTATGAGGTTATGGAGGAGAAATGATGGTTAACCTTAGACTTGAAGAAGTTAAGATTGTAGTGATCGGGTAAACATCCTCTCAGAAATCCTTTTTTTTTTCTCTAATCATTTCACCCCAAGAAAGGCAAAAAAGCCACTGAGATGTAAGGGGTTACTGAGAGTGAAGATTTTAGTGACCAGAAAGGACAATAAAAGAAGGACAGGAATCAGATTGTGATTGATGAATTGACAACTTCTAAGAATACCATAGACAGAACGTATGAATAACAAGGAAGTTTTAAGGAAAAAAAGGAACAAGGAACTTTATAATTGCAATAATAAAAAAGACAGCTCAAATTTTTGGGACAAATAGTGAGGAAAGAGAATGATGGATTGTATAAGTTCCATTTGATGTCTGGGGTGGGCTTGAATCCCAATATACAATGTAAAGATGAAAATAAATAATTTTTTTCAAATTGATCAAAAGATGACATTTTGAAGCACTTGCCTTTGCCACAGCAATTTGTTTAGAAAGAACTGAAAGATTTTTTATTTTGCTTTGGTGCTTTACAATTTTAAAGTGAGGCCATCAAGAAGAAATTGAATGAGATTTGTCTAATTAGAAGAAATTTATAAACAATTTTTTATTACAGAATGCACAGGCTGGTCCAGAATGGCAAACTACTGGTCAGCATATACAATGGGTATGAATTTCTCAAATAGTGGCAAGAATTTGAAGAGCCAACACGCCTTCCACACCCAGATTTGTTTTATGAAGCAAGCCAGAACATGGCAAGGAAATTCGAGCCAATGAGTTATTTCCCTCTTGATTCTGCCTAGAAACAATGACAACTAATGTGTTATAATGAGGATTAAAAAGAAAATTGCCGGTCATTAATGCAGTCCATGGTGTAAGTGTTAGGGTCTGACAAACTGAAGCCACAGAGGACATAAAACGCAACATTTTGTGGTCATTAACAAAAATAAATAAAAGCTAGTACCAAGGATGAACACTAGCATCAGTTTTTATAATTTAATAAATTTAATTTTATCTACTAAAATCAGAGTTGGCAATTTCTAATGGTAATTAACAAAAACATTGATGGTATTATGTAAAGGTTCAAATATCTAAAGTAGCAGGGAATATATTAATAAATTTCATTTTATTTACCAAAATAAAGCCTAAGTAATCTTCTATGGCAATTTCTAATGGTAACTAATAAAACCATTAATGGTATTATGTATAGGCTCAAATATCTATGGTAGAAGGGAATATATTAATAAATTTCATTTTTGAAATGAATTCGTGAGACAAGTTTACCATAGCTAGGTTTTATCTTAAACATTCTTTGACTAGACTTTTCACTAACTGAAGAATTCCAATAAGGGAGGTAATTACTTAGAAACACAATAGGGTTAATTATATAGCTAAATAATTAGGGATTAATGGAATAATTGACATCCAAGAGGGACAACTCTTGATGAATTAATAATAACATATAACACACACACACGCACAACATTCTCCCCTTCCTAAAAATGTTTAGTTACTGATATCTTGAATATTTATTCATAAGTGGTTAGAGTTCTTGGTACTTTAATGGCTTCCAAATTTCTTGTGATCACCTGGGCCTATCTGTATATTGAGGCAATACAGGCTGGGATGCAATTCCAAGATCACTTGATAAAGAGAGGGGGAGGTGTCTGGGTTAGTAGATATTTGTGACTTACTATCACTGGATTCATGTACTTCCTCATTTCAGTTTTCATTAATGGGTGGAGAATCTTCCAGTTTCTTTGTATGGTCATCATCCTCTGTTTATTCAGTTTGGGACAAATTCCCAACTGGGCCTAAATCACGTACAGACACTGTAGATTCACGTCCATCAGAGAACTTTACGTTAGCATAATGAGAGCAGGTTTTGAGTAATAAAAGCTCATCAACTGACAGTTCATCATAATCATACCCACATTTTTTTTTCCAGTAAATGCTCTGGCCCCATCTGTTGTAATGCTTGTCATTCTATGACAAGGCATTTTTCTACACACAATCTACAACACACTCAAACAAGTCCTGACCAGTGGATGTATTTTTCATTGATTCCAAACCAATTTGTTCCTTTGTGATGACAATATTTTTATCGATTCCACAGATAAAGATAACTGTGAAGGGTCTTGATTTATTGGTGCTCTCATCCAGTTCTCAAGAAAACCAAACAAAATCTTCGCTCGCAGAGTTCAGCTGTTCTTTTAGTTTGTCCATGATTAAGTCTATATGCCGCACTATAGTCCTTCTTGAACCTGCTCCTCGCGTCAGGATGCAGGACGTTTGCACAATCTACCAAGCACTGCTTAAACTCGCCACCAGAAAATGACTTGTTTTTAGTGAGGTTGTATGCTACCATGAAGCTTGCCTCTCTAGTACTGTTATAGTGGAACACACCTATTCTATAGTTAATAGACTCTCCCACCTAATATAAGTAGGAGTAGTAAGAGTAACAAGTCGGTCGCTCAGTGAGTCGATGTCGGACGACCGTTAGTCGGATATTAAAGTATCAACCACCACAACTAGATTACTGCATCATTACCTATTATATCAAGTTCCTAAAGTTTTGTAGTACGTCGAACCTATTTTAGGACCGACTTAGTACAAATACAAGCCTCCGCTGTGAAACCACTACATAACAAGTACTATCCTGAAGATTTGATTGCTCCGTAAATATGTTGCTTCTTCAGCTTCATAACACACTCTGCAGCTTTTTTCCTGCATTCTTCCTGGGTCACTTTGTTACCAAACTCAGCATGTCTTGTTTGGTGGCATCATTTCAAATTGTATTCCTTGAATATGGAAACTGTCTTGTGACACAATAAACATAGTGCCTTATTCCCTAAATTACTGAAGAAATATTTGCGTGTCCTGTCTTCATTAAACGCATGGTATTCTTTTTTGATTTTTTTTAGTTCACTTGGATTCAACGTTACAGATCTTACTGTTGCAAAGAAAAAACTGAAATGAGACAGAATTTCTAGCAACGTGGGTAACAACATCGAATGCATGTGTATGAACAAGCACATGTAACTAGTCAAAATGGATAACTTATCACCACTTTATATTTTTAATTTCACTCATGTGTGTTGTTTTTGTCAACTGCACAGTATAGTAGGGTCAGTTGGGCACCATCTGTGGGAAAAAGAGCACCCACGACAATTCAATCTGCTAGGAATTTGGAAATGGCATACTGCACTGCTTGGAATTCATGCGGAAAGCTCTAAACATTTCAGAGTGTTTGGGCATCAATCTTTGGACAGTGCATAGGATTCAGAAAGAGATGAATGGGTCTAATGGTGATTATGATGGTACAACAGTTTGGAAAAAATCACTAACTGTTCTGATAAAAACTCCTGAATTTGTTGGTAAGGGCCTCAGACTCAATATGGAGGCCTACATCAAGTGCCTTGAGGAGGTAGTGCTTTCCTGGGCCAAGAGGATGGCTGCTGGAAGACTATGTCTGGCAAAAGGAATTTGCATCATGCCACACAAGCAGAAGAACCTGGCTTTCAGACAATTTCTGCGACCACATCACATCTGGCTACCTAACTCCCCAGACTGCAACCCCCTTGATTATTATATGTTGGACACAGTTTAGCAAGATACCAACCAAACTACCTGTAATACCAAAGATGAACTGAAGGCAAGGATTATGGCAGCATTCACCAGCTTAAACAAGGAGACCGTCCAGGTGATTCCAAACTTGTCTGGAGGCCATGGTTGAAGCCAATAGCAATTTTATTGAATAAACTTACTCTTTAGTACTTCAAGATATTTTTTGTGTCATTTTGGTAAATATATCTGTTAAAATGAGATGTTAGTGTTATTTTCATTTTTGTGTAATTTATCCATTGCACCCTATACTTGTTAAATGACCTTAAAATCAGTTTATTTGATTTTTGTCCTCGTGTCTACATCTATATCTAAAGCTGATTTGGCTGCAAAGTCTGCTTTATTGTTTCCTTCGACTCTAATGTGGCTATGAATCCAACATAGTTTGATGTCTTTATATTTGCAGGTAGTGCTGCTCATTTTGCATAATTATTTGATAATGAGTGGGTTGTTGCATTTTTTTTCCTTCAAAGCCATTAGGATGGATAGTGAATCTGAGAAAAAGGTTTTTTTTTTTAAATAATATTTTGGCTCACTGCTGCACATCCTGTCTTGTCCTCACTTCTTTGACCTGTTTGTATGTTGCATAGCCCCCTCATTCTGGGTAGGTCTTAGTTGACAGGATCAATTCCATAACATTGTATCTTCTCTTACTAGTCTTCTCCCAGCCGGGTGTCAAAATGTTTTTGGGGTCCACAGATGAAAGAGAACTTCAACAAAAGAGATTTTAAACTTATCTATTTTCTTAACCATGTCAACATGTACATTTTTAACTAACCAGTGGGGTTGCTCTATCACCTTCACTGAGGAGCAAGTTCCCCAAGACACGAAATAACATCTACCGTGTATGATGTGTAAAACTTGAAATCCCTTTATATCTAACATTCCCATGCTAGTTTAAGCAATCAAAAACGACTTTCTCTGTTTTCCTGTATCTGACCTCAAAGGTCAAAATGAGAAAGTCAAAGGAAAATACAATTCTCTAAAAAATAAAAGTCTGCTGGACTATTATTTAATATGTATAGATTGATGTATGATTGGGGTCGTCTTCCAATATGCCCTGAAACTTGCCCTGGAATATGAGAGGGTACGTTTTTTGTTTAGGGAGTTTATTTAATTCTAGAAAGACTTCAGGTTGCTTGATTGTCCATGATGGAATACCGGCTGCAGTCATTTCTTGTATGTTTGAGAGTGTGGTCCCTACCTCTTCAGCAATGGATTTCATCCAAAGTCCATAGGGTTGTATGGTATTGTCTTTTTGTTGGAATAGATCACAGTAATTAGGTTTAAATGTACTGCTGTAACCTGAGGTAGTTGGGCATGATTTTATTTTGACATAGTGCCAGTTTGGTGTGCCTTAAATGTGAAAGTGTTTCATTAGCTTCTATGTATAAGCTCTCCACTGGGGATATCCTAAAAGCCCCAAGTACTAGCCTGAGGATTTGATGATAGGTTGCGATAAGTAATTTAGCTGTGTTTTTCTGGCTGCCCCATATAAAAAGAAAATGAAAATGGAAAAAAGAAAAGAGAAAAGGAAAAAAGAAAAAAAAGAGAAAAGGAAAAAAGAAAAAAAAGAGAAAAGGAAAAAAGAAAAAAAAGAGAAAAGGAAAAAAAAAAAAAAAAAGAAAAGGAAAAAAAAAAAGAAAAGAGAAAAGGAAAAAAAAAGAAAAGAAAAAGGGAAGAGAAAAGAAAAAAGTGAAGAATAAAAAAAGGAAAAACTAACCTTCTTCACTGCTGCTGTCAAAAAGGTCTTCCTTGATTCGACGACGTTTCTTTTTCTGTTTCACAAAATCATCATCATCTGAAAATATTGAAGGAAACAAACATGAGAACTCTCATTTATGGGACTGAGTCAGCCATTGCCTGCCATGAATTCCAAGGTAACTAAAGCCAATGTGTTTGAGAACTTTTCAGCAACCCTCATATTTGTAGGTCTGATGATTTGGATCATGATTACGATTCCAATGTAATAAATTATAACCATGGAATATTAGTGTTTGAGCCTTTTATATTATATATGAAGAAATATAATATTAAGGTGTGATATATTTATGGGATAAAGTGCTCAATATCAGAGATAGAGCGTATGTAAATATAAATATAAAAGTGAACAGTGAAGTCAACAGTCAGAGGCGACAGACTGTTTCATGCTAGACGCAAATCGGCAGGCCGTGGCTTGTTGCCTCCAAGTGCTGACTTCAATGTTCATTTTATATATATATATATATATATATATATATATATATATATACACACACATACACACACTGGAAATACTTATGTATCATGCGACCTTTGAAAACCTAATTTTGAAGGTGATTCGATTACATAATGATTAATAAATTTATTAAGTATTTATTATGTGAATATGAAGCCGGTTAAAAAAAAAAACAAAAAAAAAAAACAAAAAAACAATTTTACCTACCATAGCCTTACACAGACCCCATATTCTTAAAAAACAAAAAAATAAAAACAGATGGATAGATGTGTGAATGCATGTGCATACGTATATATGTGTATGCAAGAAAATATCATTCTGTGAACAAAATAGACGAATGGTTGACACTGCAACTTACGAAAGTTCACTACCCAATCCAACATTGAATACAGCAACCAATTGCATACATATGTACGTAATGACACGTGGATGCACATATATGCCCAGTCCCACACTGTTCGTATATGTTTATGTGAGCTGCAATATATGAATGTGTATATGTCTGCATGTTCCGACAACAATTTTTCCTCCCATCACCATAAAAACACCGATATACACAACCATAAAATACAGGGTGGCCCAAAAAAACGGGAATTTTTGAAGTGCGTATTGTCAGACATGAGCAAGTGGTAACACTGTGAGACAGTGACCTTGAGCAAGTAAACATTTTGCCATTTAGAATTCAAGATGAAATTCACAGTATTCCAGCTGAGATGTTGCAGCAGTCAATGAGGAATCTCAACAGCAGATTTCAAGAATACATTCGTACAGGAGGACGCCATCTACAGGACGTAATTTTTAAAAAATGAAAATTCCATCATTGTTTCTTAAATAGCATGTTTTAAGGTTTCAATTACTATGAATAAAATATTTTTCTTCTATCACTCTTGGTTTTATTGGATTGTTAAAAAGTTCCCGTTGTTTTTGGGTCACCCTATAAATCCAAAATTTCAAAAATTAATCATTTCGTCTGACGATTGCAGATAATGCAAACCCCTAGGTCACAAACTCACATCAGTCATATATATATATATATATATATATATATATATATATATATATATATATGAATATAAAATATTCACATTGAGTGGTGGTACTAACAATATAGTGCACAATGTATAATATCAGAACTACAATATATATTAATAATAAATATACCCCCCACCCCAGGTAGAACAACTCCAAGTTTCATGCATAATGCAATTGTCAGGTTGCATTGTGCATGTAATATATGGGGGAATATATATATATATATATATCTATCAGAGCAATGTTGGGTAGAAATATATATTTGGGGGTTGGAAAATTTCCCTAAAAATATAACACATTAGACATCTGATAGCAAATATCTGCAGGGTTCACTTACCCGAGTCTGAAGAAGGTGGCTTTTTTTTCTCCTCAGTTCTGCGAATAAAAACACATGAGATAAAGTATATGAATATAAGATACAAAATATGTTTTAAAGTATGCTATGAGTAAAAGTGCTCAATATTTTTCTTGTGGATGTCTTACAAGAAAAATGCAAATGCATGCACAATATACAATGCTCTCTCTCTCTCTCTCTATATATATATATATATATATATTATTGGCCATAATATAAGGAACGGAAACATGTCCCATTTAATCTTTATTTAAAAAAAAAAAAAAAATCTAATATGTAAATTTTTGTAACTTTGTATATTATTTATGCATTACACCCTAAGCTTCACTCGGTAAAAATTTCATTGCTAATCATGCATTACTTTTTAAGTAATACACATATTTATGTATTTGTTGTTTCCGTTCCTTATATTATGGCAGCTATATATATATATATATATATATATATATATATATATATATATATATATAAACTGAAAATATATTGAATAATTGTTGGACTTAATCCATTTCATATGTTGTCATTGTTTACATTAAGATATGTTTTGTGAACAGAAATGATTGAGTAAGAAAAACCGTTATGTGTTTATAAACAGTAATTTGTTAATTAGACGCTTCTCTGTAGCTGAATGATATAGCACGTCAGATCAAATGACAGTTCCCATAGAGGAATACAGGTTCAATTCCTATGGACAATGCATATTTTGTATGAAATTTTTTAAGCATTCATTAAGTTGTATCTATAAAAATAATGTATAAACAGAAAATATATTAAATAATTGTCAGACTTAATTCATATATATATATATATATATATATATATATATATATATATATATATATATATATATATATATATATATATATATATATATATATATATATATATATATACACACACACACACACACACACACACACACACATAACAATATGTATTTTTATATATCAAGAAACAGTATCAAGGAAATTGTAAGACAAAATGAAAAAAGTGTACATGTGAAATGTTTCATCCATTAGGACTTTGGAGTGGTTTTGTTGACATTGTATGACTACACATATGCATGAACAAGAGACACTGGTAGTTTCAAAATTTTGAAATCATTTTTTTTTTGGCAGATTTTCTGTTATCACAATGTAGGATAGCTGAAAACAAAGATGTTGGATAGAAAACGAATATAGATAAATTTGGCTAGACTGCAAAAAATTATTTAAAAAAAAAAATTGGGGGAATTCCAAATTGCGGGTTCAGATCTAGCCCAGAATGTTTTTAATTTGCTCACAATGTCAGCCTGATTCCAAAATGGTATGATATGTTGGGCTACAGCCTCTAGGAGAGAAGTTGAAAAAGTGTGACACACTGACATTCGCATTCATTATATAGATGTGCTGTTTTATGGTAAGTGATTTTTCTTAATGGCTGGCTGTTCATTTAGAATGCCCCCCCAATCTAGTATAATGGTTTCAAAAACAATGCAGCAACAGTTTGAAATGATTTCATTCACTTTGTTTGGAAAATTATTCAAGATCTTAAATTCTATATTTTGTAGTTTCTCCTCCATACACCGACTACAACTTCTGCTTGGTGTCTCTCTATTAAATACCATTCTACTAACACTGTCTTTCTTTTTTTTTTATATTTCCATTTTGTTTTACACACACAGGCACCAATTCTCAACTCCTTTATGGCCATGCACCTATCTCACTGTTTTTCAGAATGTTATTTCTGCCAAATGTTCCATGAAATAGGATTCACGATAAATATCCCCAAACTATGATCTGGAATTGGATTGAAAGCAGTTATGGCACCCACCATGAATCCATCATAAAAATTTCCTGATGTGGATTATTTTTTTCTTTTTTTTTTTAAGTTTTCATTTTAAGCAAATAAAATAAGCCACTAACATGCAAGGGTTACAGGGAAAGAGACAAGAGCAAATAGGAGTGATATTTCTGAAGGATTTTTAAAAAGATCAGATCTGAGACGAAACATTACCAATAGTTGGAGAAATCAGGAAACAGGAAAAGGAGGAGCTACCCAATAGCTTCATGTCTCGCACCTCTCGCCTGTGGAACTCCCTTAAATTCCAGTTTTGATAGCTATAATCTCCAACTATTCAAATGTAATGTCAATAGACATCTCCAGTTGCCTTGATCTATCCACTATCCCTTCATCCTTTCCTCTATCACTTCTATCTGCTCACATCCTAATCCTATGTAACCCCTTATTGGCTAGTGGCTTCCAGCCTTGCTTGGGGTGAAATGCTTATAAAAAAAAAAAAAAAAAAATGAAAGAAAGATGTATACAACAGCTTTCTGAGATCAATGGTTAAAAATCCCTTCAAGTGAATGAAACCTGTAGGTTTTAATGAGGACCATGCTTCTTTGAGCCCTGTGGACAGGTGCAGTGGTATCACAATCCAAGTGTACTAAATAAGTAAACCACATCACTTGAAGACTTTCAACAACAGCAACAACTGAATTGGATAGTACACGTCACTTGAAGACAAAATAATAACAATCAAGATGTTGATGTTCCATACTACAAAAAGCAAAAGGTTAGCATGGAAATCAATACTGGAAAGAGCAATAACAGCTACTGGTCTTGAGAAACTTATTTTCCTGAAAATTTGTTTTAACAGAAAGATTTTATAAATCTCAAACAAAAGTAGCACTAGCTGAGCCGTCAATGTGTGGGGATAAATGTTCAGGAAAAATAGTCATGTACAGGAGAGGAGAACAAAATGTCCGACATTTGCGATACTGGCTTAGACTCTTGCAATCTTAAAAGGTTTTCTCTTTTCTCTCACCTTTTATAACAGAAATTAAAATGTCAAGTCCAGTTCAGGAGATAAGATTTCTTTATGCAGAAATAACACCCAACAATTCCAGTTTGAATCCCAGGACTGTGAAAAAATCACATGGAGCTGTGCACCTCAAAGGTGCAGTGGAATTATTGAAAGAAAGATTTAGAAAGTTTTAAAAAATTCATATGCCAAAAATAAATATGATTTCAAAATTTAAAATATTACTATGGATTACTTTTAATTGCATGCATCGGCCCTAGTATAAATAGTTATAGATAATTATTGACTGATTTTATGAAGTATTAAGAATATAGTAACTAGGGTTTGCAAATTGGAGGAGAGAGTTATCAATGATGATGTTCTGACTTCGAATCTGTAGTTATCTCCCTTTAACAATGTCTCTGGACTTTCTTTGCCAGAGGGACTTCCCTTTGGTGAGGTGCAAGCAAATTTTAATTCCAAAAATGAAGCGCAGAGAAAAAAGTTTAGGAACCACTGCTATAAACCATCACAGTTACCAAAAAAAGTTACAGACAAAAAATAAATTATGAATGTGGTATATTTACATATATATATGGATGCACAGTTGATAAACTAGTTTTTTTTTTTTTTTTTTGAATGTTGAAATTTCTGCTTACACTTAATATGTGTACATAAGACAGAGAAAAAAAAAAGAAAAATATCAATATATGTGTACATATGAAGCCAAAGGACAATCCATATCTTTTTATCTAAGTCTCATAATCTTTACTTTCTCTATAATTGGAGTATCCAGCCATTGCTTTCAAGACAATAGCTAGTAGGAAGCTATATAAAATTTGTGTAAAAAACAAAAAAGGTTGACAGTTACTTGTAATATTTACTAATTCAAACTGTTATCCTCATCTTCATTGCCATATTCACGTTTCGGCCATTGTACACTCAGGCCTTCCTCAGGTGATTGGAATTTTAAACTGAACCATTTATTTCGTCCACCAGGATAGATTGTTCTAGTTCCATGTGCCATGCCTCTTCTAGATGTCTCACAGATATAGACAGATAAGGTTGACAACGTTGATTACTTTTATAATTTACACACAGAGCCATAAAATCAATATGTTTGATCAATTTCTTTCAGAGTCAACATCTAAAGCAGAGTTTGGGTGGAAGATATCTGTAAAATGCACACTCCTCAAGGATTTAATTATTAATAATTTGGAGCAATTCTTGCATATGCAAACTCTGTATAATAGATTCATTAGAGAAAACATGGAAGTAGAAATATCAGATGATCTTGCTAGTTGTGATAATTCTTTTACCTTTTTGTATCTCCAGATTCCTTTTTGATACTGACAGGTTTTTCTTCAGAAGGTTTTTCTTCAGAAGGTTTGTTCTTGGCTAGAAAAGAAATACATTATTACTATTTATTGTTCCATCTTATTGGCACTGTTTATCCCAACATTCAGGGTTAATACAAGTTTTATTCCATCTTATTATTGTTGCTTTTAATCCCAACACTCTGGCTCAATGCACTCTTCATTATTACTATTTTACTATTAGTTTTATTCCATTTTATTATTGTTGCATGGTGAAGAACTTAATTTTACTTAGTCTGGCACAATGTCAATAATGTGGGGTATTCTACAAAGATAAAAACTTGTTAGGCTTGTCAGACTAGCTTCTTAACCAATATTCCATTATTTGTAGTTTCATGTACTCTTATAATTTTTTCAAGCTGAAAGTGATGAAAATTCTATAATTACTATAAATTCAATTTTCTAATGCACACACTCACATATATATATATATTCTTTATTTATATATTCATTTTATAGATATAATTTATTTAAATAAATGCTCTGTTTTTTTTTGTTTTTTTTAATTAAACAGCATTAATTACATCTACCAGTCTGTATGTTTGAGAAATTTTATAGAAAATATGTGCTCTCTAAAAGAAATCAAAACTGTAACCCTAATGGGAACCATGATTTGACTTGATGTGCCTATTAACCATTCAACCACAGAGATGTATCTGGTTAGCAAAGTTTGAATTACTGTTTATAAACACACACTTTTGATGATTTTTTCTTGATCGATAAATAATTGTCGGACTTAATCCATTTAATATGTTATCATTGCTCACATAAAGATACGTTTTGTGAGCATAAATGATCAATTGAGAAAAATTGTAGAAGGTGTATGTTTATAAACAGTAATTTGGACTTTGCTAACCAGGCACTTCTCTGTAGCAGAATGGTTAACAGCATGTCAGGTCAAATGACGGTTTCCATTAGGTTAATTTTGATTCCTATTGGAAAGCACATATTTTCTATGAAATTTCTCAAACATTCACGTAGGGTAAATGTAATTAATACTGTTTAATTAAAAAAAAAAAAAACAGCATTTACTCAAATAAATCATATATATAAAAAATAACAACGTATAAACAGAAAATATATTAAATAACTGTCCATTTCATTTTTTAAAATATATATATATATATATATATATATATTCATAATATTCAAATAAAAATAAACATAGAAGTCAACACTTAGAGGCGTTAGTCTGTTTCATGATAATTTCTCAGACATTCAGGCTGGTAAATGTTATTTAATACTGCTTATTATAAACAGAGCATTTACTTAAATATTTGTATCTATAAAAAGAATGTTAAACATAAAAAAAATATCTTAAAATAATTGTTTGACATTGTCCATTTCATAATGTGTGTGTGTGTATATATATATATATATATATATATATATATATATATATATATATATATATATATAATGTCAAAACTCTAAATTTATGGCCCACAACTAAATGACTTAAATATAAACCACAAATTTATGACCCATCACTTAATGACCTAGATAATTAAAAAACAATCTTACAAAATAGTCATCACAAAGACAATTTGAAAAGGAAACAGTTTTTTTTTTAGTTTTTCGTTTAAGCCTACTCAATAACTGTTAGAACATTAGAAATCAGCCTTCCTGTATATATATATATATATATATATATATATATATATATAAACATACATACATACACACACACTTCCACCCATGCAGCTTGACAATTGCATTTTAGAGTGTGAAACAGACAGACTGTCACAATCTAGTATTGATACCTATGTCTATGCTCTTTTTATATATCCGAGGCATGGTCGATTTGGTTAGAATGAAAGTTTTCATGGTTTCTAATGTTCTACACAAACCACAAGAACTTTCCTTCTGAGCAATTAGATGCAAGAAAGATTGAAACTTGAAGGAATTGCCTTAACCAAACTTACCAGCAGAATTGGCAAAAAATGACATGACACCAGTCAACTTTTTAGAAACCTAAAAATAAACCAAAGTCTCAAGATTAATGTTTATTTTTAATTAGTTTAAGGAGAATTAGTAAGTAAGAATTTCTAATAAGTATGTAATAGATAAAGTGGTTTTTGAGCAACTGATTATTGACACGATGTTATCTATTAAAGTTTGAAATAGATATCAGAGAAGGATTTTATTTCAAGGCATTTACTATTTATTTAAATAATTGCAAGAATATTTATAATTTTTAAGTATTAAACATAAAGCTCACTTCAGATACATTTGTTTAAAAAATCATTTTCATAGCAAAAAATCATTGGCTAATGTGTTTTCAAGTTAAGTATCATTAGAATAAAAGATAATGTGTTCTCATGAAGAACATTCTTCTCATGGTAAGAACCAATGGCCAATGTGAGTTAGAACTCATGGTTAGATGGTTAGAAAAGTCTACCAATTTTCATGGTTAAGAATCATTGGCTAATGGTTCTCATGGTAAGAAACGCTTTCAATGTGTTTTCATTTTCCACTGGCCAATGTGTTCTCATGGTTAGAACCGCCGGCCAATGCATTTTCAAGTTAAGAATCATTGGCTAATGGATTCTCATGTTAAGAACCGCTGGCCAATGTGTTCTCATGGTAAGAGCTGCGGGCCAATGCATTTTCATAATGAATATCATGGTCAATGCTTTGTTATAGTCTATATTAATCTGTGATGTTAGTAAAACAAAATAAATCTAATTGTTTATTTTACTTACTATAAATATCCTTAATATACTTGAAAAATAAAGTCCTGTTAAATTTTATCTAAAGTTATCAAAAATAATTTTTTATATATTAATTATACCAGGTTTTACTTACACTAGAATTTTTCTTGACTGTTTCTTTTGTGTCAGTCTTAGAACAGTTCTGAATTTGTTCACTGTTCTTAGAAGAATCTTTTTTTATGTTGGCTTTAGCAAACATCCCTGCAATACCAGTTTTGTTATTATCCTTCTTTGGTGCAGTCGTTTTTTCTTTGCTTTCCAATGTTCTGTGTCTTGAATTGTCATCCAAGATGGAAGGCTAAAAAAAAAAAAAAAAAAAAATGCACGTAGATGAAAGAAAGAGAGGTTTATTGTAAAAGAGAATACACTACTGGAAGATAGGGTTAGCAGGCTAGTAATTCCTGAAGCAAGTCTCAGGTATATCCTGTGCACACTATATATATATATATATATATATATATATATATATATATATATATATACACACACACACACACACACACACACACACACACACTGATTTTGTCAGTCCACAATAGGTGATAAAGAGAGTGGGACATTCCATTACAACATTAACAAAGTGAGAAAATGAATATTTCTGTTTCACACTACTAGAACATTGCCTGCACTGGGCTGGTCACATGTTCATAATGTATTCCATTTAACTCACCTGTATCATCCTGTTTGGAGGACTCAACATTGGTAAGAGGCTATGCAAAAAACAATGCTTGAAGAATCATTTGAAGACATCCCTGACACAGGCCAACATCAACCCTGAGATCTGGGAAGCCATTTTACAAAATTCAACGAGACCTGATTTGAGGATTCCAATTTCGAAAGATCAATTTGCCTAACTTTTAACCCGGCCTTCTCATTTTACAAAATTCAATGAGGCCTGATTTGAGGATTCCAGTTTCAAAGATTAATTTGCCAAACTTTTCATCTTCTCTTGCTAAATTCAATGATGTCTGTCAGTTTTCAAAGAGATTTAATATTCTTAGTGTCAATGTAAATTATCATCTTTTTCACTTAATGAAAGCAACATCGCAGAGCCTTGAATTAAATCTGTCGACCAATAGCCAGTATTTTGTAGTAATTCTAAGATGTGGCTATTCCACTAGGCTATCTGTTATGTCATGGCTGATCTCCCAGACACTGCAAAGCAAAGCCGATATACTTTTATCCTTCTTCACTGCATGTGAGAATTGTTACCACAAAAAGAAAAATAATTTCCCTGTAGGTTACAAAGATCAATATACACCTGATGAAGGTTGGAGAACACAACAGCCAAAATGTTGTGATAACAATAAAGATGAAGAAATGTAAATGATTCAGACAAGAAAAAGTCCACTTGAGTTTTCTACTATGGATAATAGCTACATAGAGCTGACTATGAGAGAAATGTGTGAATAATTTTTTGTTTATAATCATAATAAATTCGGCAAACTTACTTTGTTCATAATCTGATACAGTTAAAAAAAAAAAAAATCTAATTAAACAGATTATTCTGACTTATTTTGATAATTCAATAAAATATCTTTCAGCTCTGTTCAACTAATTTGTAATAACGTGAAATATCAGACAACAATAATGCATATTATGAACCTTGTAGCTTTTCTAACTTATAACTGAATTTTGAGATGGCAGATATAAATTCTTTCTATACAAACAGAAGGAATTAGGAAAAACTTTGGCAGAATTATTGCATATATATGGCAATTTAAAAAATTTGAATTAAACAAATAGCAGAGATGAAATATTAAAATATGTTTAAAATTCTGTCTATATTTCTATGAGATGAGGTATTATTTACATTATTCGGACTATTGTCCTCATCTTTGTCGCCACAACGTTTCAGCCATTGTACGCTCTGGCAGCAGCCCCCAAAAACTGGGATAGGTGGGTACAAGAGGAGGACAACAACACTCAGAAAACAGTCTGCCTGCCTTATGTTAAATACAAAGGATCTGCGGTCCATATAACATCAGGACAACCTTCAAAAGCTTGACGACACTTTGCAGATGTCTCTCCCGAGTAAAATCCCCCATAGAGGAGAACATGACTAAAGACTGTGTGTACGCTATTCTGTACAGCTGCGGAAAGAAATATAAAGGTGAGACAGGCCACCCCCTTAAGGTAAGGCTTCAAGAATACCAGAAAGCCGTAACATGTAAATGGAATAAATATGGCGACAAAGATGAGGACAATAGTCTGAATAATATAAATAATGTTTAAAATTTTTAGGAAAATTAAATATTACTACTAATGATATGCTATTTCTTCGTAATATACAGAGTGTATCAAAAATCCTTTTACAAAGTTGGGGGATGGGTTCTTCACACCAAAATAAGGACAGAAGTCCATATAAACACATGTCGACAAATCCTTTGTTTTTGAGTTATTAAGTTTAAAGTTTACGGTAGATGCTGTTAAATGTACAATCCAAGATACAATCTAAAAATACTTCTACAAAATTTTGGGGCGGGTTCTTGACACCAACAAGGTAAAATGTCAATATAGACATATGTCCAAAAGGCCATCATTGTCCCTCAAGACAGCAACTTATAAAAAATGTTCAAAATGCCCTCTGCTTGCTTCTACACATGCATGCACCTGTCGGATCACTGACTAGTGGACCCTTTGAAATAGTCTCACACAGTATCTGTCTTTATTTCTGAGATGAGATATTATATACACTATTTACATTATTTAGACTATTGTCCTCATCTTTGTCGTCATATTTATTACAACGTTTCAGCCGTTGTACGCTCCGGCCTTCTTCAGGTTGTTGGAATGTCAAACTGAACCCTTTATTCCCCTCACTGGGGTAGACTGTTCTAGTTCCACATGTTATGTTTAATAGATGTAAGTTATCAGTTATCTCCTGTTAATTCCCTTCTCCAAGTTCTCCAGTGCCTTAACCGGGCACATGGCACAATGAATAAAGGTGTTGGTTAGATCCAGTGACAGGACCCAAAGAATGTGAGTTCAATACCTGGTTAAGGCAGTGGAGAACTTGGAGAGGGGAATTAACAGGAGATAACAAAAGACCTGAGGATTTTCAGTCACTCTAGGATTTGTTTATTTAGAGACCAATTCATTGTATGCATTGATTTTGATGTAATTTTGGAAATTTAAGACCAACAATGAAAAACATTGTAGATGGCCATCTGGTTTACATACAGAGGGTTCGTTTTGCGACATTAATTAATCTGTCTATTTCCCTGACAGAAGTCTATATGAACAGAATATACAGGTGCAAGAGTCAGCCAGAGTATCAGTAGGAGTTGGACAGAATGAGTTAGTTCAGTTGGAGACACCTGCATGCTTGCTCAAACATTGTGCATTAGAAAAATTCTGCTGTAAAAGTAATTCACTGCTAAGATGTTAGCACCACTAGCATTACTTACAAATAGATGTCTCTTAGTATCTCAAGGGTAGAAAAAAAAGAAGAATGATTGGAATAAAGCATTATAATAATAAAAAAAATTTTTTTTAAAAAATGAAAAGAGATATTTACAGTAATTTGTTCTTTTTTAATTTCCTGAACCACGGGTTTGGATGTGGCCACGCGTTTTGCTGCATCATACCTGATGGAACTTTGTCTGTTAAAAGAAAACAGATTCTGATTTATGTAATTTTATTAACATAAGAAATTTGGCATTTTTTTTTTTCTAATTATCTGTTAAATTGCCAATCAAGTCATTCTGTGTCATATCAACCATCACAGATTTTTTTTTCCAATTTCATACACTTTTAGAGCTTCAGGACACAAATTGAAGGTCAAAGAGTTCCAGAGACATGACCCTTTAACCTTTGCCAAAAAGGTGAATTTTGGAAAATAGTCACAAAGTTTAAATATCAATATCTCAGTTGTTGTTTTACCCACAAAGATAAATCATATATCATTTTAAAGTACTTGGATAGATCTAAAAGGTGATCTATTTTTTGTTTTGTTTAAAAGATAATTTGACCATAACTTAATTTCTTACACTTTGTCCATTTAAAATTATCATTTTTCAAAATATTGCTGACAGCAGAAGCCTCACTTTTTGGAATTTTCTTCTGCGTTATGTCACAAATATTAATTTTCTTCTTAACAGCTGACATTACCCTTTTCATTTTATTTAATTTATGAAGTACAGCAACACAAGATATTGTATTGAAAAGTAAAACTACAGAAAGAAACCATTTCCTCAATCAGGAAATGTTACCATCAATATTTATTTAATGTCAGAATTATCAAACTCAGATAATTTTGAAAGTGCCTTTATAATGCTATGAATTTAATTGGCTTCAAAAATGCAAGTAACTTTTGTATCAAGCTAATATAATGGAAAAGAAAATTTTCCCTGCCTATTGTTTTAATGTAAAAAGATCTATGGTGAAAACAATACTTACTAGGACCAACAAGACTGGACTTACAGCTACACAGACCCCAATGAGACATTGGGTATTTAAGTGATTCAGTACCGTGGGTCAATATACCTACAGAGTTGCACACACTCTCATGTCCCAACTCACTTAAACAGGATAATGGCATTCTGGGATGAGCCTAATTTTCACTTGGAATCAATCTGTTAGATCAGATTCAGTGGGAGCTTATGCAAGCTAGAAATTGGAGTCAGTGGGTGAGCCTCAGTTATCCACTATCTTCCCTCAAATCAAAATGATTATATATATTTATATATATATATATATATATATATATATATATATATATATATATATATATACACACACACACATATATTATATTGACATTTAAACAAGGGTGATTTTATAAACAGTGGTTGTTTTTGCTGCAAAAAGCTCTTCTACTTAAATCAAGCTCTTTCTAGCTACTGATGTCTTTTTTTCTTTAGTAAAATGTTAAAATTTCCTTCAATAAATGCCGTTGCAATGATAGCTTAATCTAGAATCTCTGGCTGCTGCCAAATCAGTCAGGTTTCAATCACAGTTTGAAGCAATCGGATGTCTAGCCACACTGAGGAGCTGTGATACAGCGAAACTGTGTGGTTGATACACACACATTATATATATCTCAATACATCATCTAAAGTTCAATTGATCTCAATGATTGACTGTCTCAAGAATTTTCTGTTTTAGACAAAAAGAATGCAATAAATAGTCTGAAGAACTCTTTAAGAAATATTGTTATCATTCCAAGAGTTTTGTTCAAATTCTTCATATGATAAAATTTCTTAAGATAATAGAAAAATTCTTCTCAAATAATGAAAAAAAAAACTTACTTGCAAGATTCAAATATATTTTCTTTCATCAAATTGTAGTCTGTAATATACAATGCATCACTGTCCTGAAATATAAAAAAGTTAACCTGAGACTCATTTGAAACAACTGAGTTATAAAAAGGTGATGGCAAAAATTTCTTGATTCAAAAACATACAGCTAGAGTTGACAAGGCCAATCTTAAGCAATTAAACATTTTTTGACCTCCTGACAAATCCTACAGAAAAATAACATATTTGTTAATCATAACTAGCAATTTCAGTGAAAATTTCATGGTTTTCCAATTTGAATTTTTTAAAGAATCACTATGCCTTCTTGTCTTAACCTTCTCCACTGTCTTGAAATGGAGCAACTACATGGAATCAATAGCTGCATCTACTGCAAGGAAAGTTGGATCACAGTGTTGTACAAGAAAATTTTTCTTGTCTGAATCCATCTTGCATATTTATAAACCTATCATTTGTCCATGCATTGAATACTGTTACCATATCTGGTCTGGTGTTCTTGCTGTAGATCTCAAGATTATTGACAAAATTCAAAGAAGGATCTGTAATGTAATCAATCCTGACCTGGCATCTCGACTTTAGTCACTTTCTCACCAACATGACTTCCGGCTGTCTTTTCTACAATTATTCTCCATGCATTAAATACTGTTACCATATCTGGTCTGGTGCTCCTGTCGTACATTTCGAGATTCTTGACAAAATCCCAAATTTTGAAGATCAAGATGGAAAGTAAGAGGCTGGAAGAGACTTCTGTGAGACGGAAGAAACTTATGGTTACATTTAACCATTTCAACCTTAAAACTATGAGACCTTGTCACCAATCTAGTACTGTGTTTAAATTTATGGAGCCTAGGTAACAGAGGAAAGTTCAGAATAATTACCATAAAACCATTTATAGAAAACGCACAGGGAAGCTATGTTACAGTGGTGAGAAAATGATTGAAGCTGAGATGCCAGGTCAGGACTGATAACATTGCAGATTCTATGAATTTTATCAAGAATCTCTAAATACATAGCACAGAAGCACCAAATCAGATGTGGTAGAAATATTCAAATGCATGGTGAAATTGTTGACTTATGAATGTTTAAGATAGATTCTGGAGAGAAAAATTATCTAGCACAATACAGGAAACCAACTTTCCTGGCACCAAACGTAGCAACTGATTCAAAAATAATGAAAATAATTGGCAGACAATTGCTGATACTACCTTATGAGTTGGGGTTGCTGAACGACATCAATCAGCTAAGAAATTCAAATTTTATTTTCGTATTAAATATTATATATATATATATATACACACACACACACACACAGAGATAAAGAGAGAAATGATACAATATGGTAATCCGTATGGAATTTCCAGGAGGATATATATCCAGGGAGAGCTCTATGTCAAAAGACAGAGCAAAATTACTATTAATTAAAGAATATCAGACACTTAAAACCCATAGAAATAAATATATATATATATATATATAAGGCTCAAACACTAATATTCCATGGTTATAGTTTATCAGACCTACAAATTCAAAAAGACAGGCCTAATGAATTGGATCATGATTCCAATGTAATAAACTATAACCATCGAATATTAGTGTTTGAGCCTTTTATATTATATTCTTGCTCTGTCCTGGACATTGAGCTCTAGCTGGATTCTATCCTCTTGGATATATATATATATATATATATATATACACACACACACACACTTTCCTAGCAGCAGTGCTTTCTGCACAAATTAATCTTGAGCACAACAATTTTTTTTTTATCTTCACTCAGATTTGAGCACAAAATTTTCTGTGATATACACACAAAAAAGAAAGAATGTATATTTACCTGGAGTTTAGATTTTTGTACACTGTATATATGACAGCTGTACAATTTTTGAAAAGTTGATTTGATGGCTTCCAGTTTGTCTTCTGACACTACTTCACAGTGTTGGATCTAAATGCATTTTTAAAAACAAATCACATTCAATGAGAGTCTTAAGAAAATTCATAGTACCCCCTTAAATTTATGTATAATTCTCCCAAATTACCAATTAATAAAAGTTATTTTCAACATTTCCTTCATAGAATTACACAAAACAATTCTCAATATAAAAATATCTTTAAAAGATAAATCATTGAATTTCTTTACAGAAAAAAATACTGACAAATAAATGTCATAAAATTATTGTAGCGTAAATCCATTCATGATGCATTTCTATAATAAAATGATTTCTGATGCACTTATGTAGTCAGAACCCAATTACAAAACACAAAACTATAAGACATGAGTCGGCAACCTTTTGCTATGTGCCGAGTTAGGGTTTTAAAATCATTCAGTGTGCCAACAGCATACATATTTTTATATACAAGTCAAGGTCAACATACAATATATTTTGTATAGTAATATATAGTATATATACTTTAGTATATATTAAAATTGAAACAGCTAAATATCTTCTTTGTGTTGTAGTAGTTATTGGTTTGGACTTTGTGATGTTATTTGTGGCTGTGTGCCATTGGAAATTACTTGGCGTGTCACGCATGCTGTAGGTGGCTGTCTCCTATTCTAAAGTACCATAAATGATACAGTCATGGCCGAATGGTCCGAAATCAGAGTCTGAACGACTGAGGAGACCATTATTTTCTGACGACATGCAAGATGGATTTGTTTTTAGTCTTTTAAAATCATTCAGTGTGCCAACAGCATACGTATTTTTATACAAGTCAAGGTCAATATACCTGCTCTACAATATATTTTATATATTAATATATAGTGTATATACTTTAGTATATGTTAAAATTGAAACAGTTAAATATCTTCTTTGTCTTGTAGTAGTTATTGGTTCAGACTTTGTGATGTCATTTGTGGTTGTGTGCCATTGGAAATTGCTTGGTATGCCATGTGTGGCACACATACTGTAAGTTGCCAGCCTCTGCTATAAGAAAATGAATTCTGATACACTTCTGTAATCAAAATGCAATCATAATTAATTTTTATAATAAAAAATGATTGTTTCCAGTCTCCCACTTCTGAACCTAACAAACCATTTACAAGCAGTACTCTCAGCTATGGCACCATCTCCATAAATGGTACATATCCTTTTTTGCTGTTTGTAAAGTGCTTTGCCCTTCCTATATGATGAAAATGTATCCCGTTTTCCCTCATTTTCTGTTTTAGTGCAAAAATTTTTAAAATTCACAAACCACACATATGAAATATCACCTTTTAGAATATGTATACAACAATTTACATATTTGGGAAGTATTTTAACAGAGGATAGAAAGTATAACACTGAAAACTGAAGGTGCATTTAGATAGCAAAAGATGCCTTCCAAAAGCTAAGCAAAATATTAAAAAACAGGAAAATATCATTAGAAACAAAAGAAAAGAGTACTGAACTGTTATGTAATATCAGTCCTCCTATATCGCAGTGAATACTGGATAATTTCCTCACAAATGAAGAGGCTTAAAACAACTGAAATGTGGTTCCACAGAAGGATGCTGAGAATCATCATCATCATTCAACTGCAGTTGGGATCATTGAGCCAAAGCAAACGATGCTTTTTTGGCTGTATAGTGTGTGCTACAGCAGGGATACATACAGTTTTGAATTCAGAGTTACTTTCTCCTAGACTGGTTGCCACCCAAGGCTATAGAACCCAGTCTGTCCTGCTATTTACCCATATCTGGAGAGAGAAGAGGATACATACATTTCCCAAGGCTATCAGCATGTAAGTGAATGAAATGGATCAGACTGGAATTCAAAGTTGGCTCTCTGATTTCTTAATACGAGTCGCTATCCATTACTCCATGTGCTGAGAATACCATGGACTTAATATTCATATTTTCTCACACTCAGTAACCACATGCATCTTAGAGGCTTTATTGCTTTACTTGGGGTGAAATGATTAAAAAAAAAAAAACAAAAAAAAAAACAAAAAAAAAAAAAAAAAAAAAAAAAACAAAAAAACAAAAAAAAAAAAACAAAAAAAAACAAAAAAACAAAAAAACAAAACTACATTACAGGTGATTTGAACATTGAACCCTCTCTAGGGGACAGGTAGCAGCTTAATGTTAAATTTAAAGTCATATTCAAGCAACCTTGCACCAAACAGACAACAGTGTTTAACCTTTGTGACCAAAAAAAAACAGTGTAGTGTCAAAACAACGGTTATTCCCATGCTGCCACAATTACTGTATACACTTTTGTCAGTGTTTATTTACAAGATTATAAAAATATATGAACAATGTGATATTTATTATTTACCATTTTATAAATAATTATGAAAATGAGTTTTTATTTATAAGTTTATAAAAATATCAATGAACTATTGTCAATTCTTAAAAGTAAAAAAAATGTATAAATTCACTTTAAAATGTTTGGGTTTTATTAAAATTGTAATCATCACTTTAAAATAAACAATACTGAGGGAGTCAAAAGTGTATACAGTAATAGCAATGTCAAGGGAATAACTGTCCTTTTGACACAGTTTTTTGTTGTCATATTGGTTAAACATTATCGAAATAAATATATTTTATATTTACAATAAAAATATGTGAACTATAATAAAATATTTACCATTTTATAAAGAAATAGGAGAAAAAAGTTTTATTCATAAAAATGTCTGAACAAGAAAATTTAGGTAAAAACATAACTATAAGTAAATGTAATTAGAAATTTTGAAAAAAAAAAAAAAATGCATTTTCTGAACATTTTTTTTGTCATATAAATTCATAAGTTTTCCTAGTTAATTATAAAATTGTAAATAAACTTTGCATTATAGTTGATTTACATATTTTAATAAATCTCTTTTCTAATTTATTTCTTTATAAAATGGTAAATAAATCTTTATAAAAGTTAAATAATATTGTATTATACTGGGATTACATATTTTTATAATCTTGTAAATAAACAATGCCAAGGGAGTCACAAGTGTATACAATAATAGTAGTGTCAAGGGAATAACTGTCCTTTTGAAACACTGTTTTTTTTTTGTGGGCACAAAGGTTAATCAATTCTGGGAAAAGGTCCTCTATGAAAACCAGATTCAAGGGTTCATCGATTCCTTTTTCACATCAAAACTTACCCAAAAGGTAAGTGACAAGTCATTGCAAATAATGGTGAATATGTAATTGAATAAAATGTAATAATTTTAGTTTATTTTTTGAGGAATAAATGTTTGTTTACACTATCTATATATGTGCTATTGTCCTCATCTTTAGTGTTATAACATTTTAGCCAGTGGATCCTCTGGACTTCATCAGGTGTATGTCAATCCGGTAATGTACAGGGAATTCTGAACTGAACCCTTTATTTAGTCTACAGAGATAAAATGTTCTCAATCCACTGCCCAGGTCTAGAGATATCTCACCTAGTTTTTATTTTTAGTACTGCTCAGTTACTGCTTGCCTAGTTTCCACTGTTACACATCCAAATTTACTGCGCCTGATATTCCCAAGTGGTCACCCATCTATGTACTGGCTAGGCTCAATGTGGCTTAACTTTGGGGATCATACAAAAAGCAGCATTTAACATGATATATCTGTAAGCCTTATGTCTACACGAAGAAATCAAGAATAAACATAATTGTTCTGGCCCCCCAGTCAACTTTAAGGTGATCAAAGCCGAAAGGGGAAGAGAAAGAAAAATTACCTTTGTCGAACCATCGCACTTGTGGAGACCTGATACAAAATATGTTACATTCAAGTTGTCTTTGTCATTATCATTTCTCTGCTGCATCACAAAATTGTATAACATCCTGAGAAAGATGAAGTTGAAAAGTAAAATAAGACATTGATTTCATAATTCAATTACATAATATAAGGGCAGAGTCATTTATTCAAACACACATGCACACACACTGATATGGCCATCTGTTGGTCACCAGAGACCATGAGTCAGTGCCCAAAAGAGTTATGCCTCAGCTACTGATGGCAGCACAACATCTGTTATAGTTGTACAGACACACATGGGAGTGACAGTCTTGATTGCAACGAATGCATGTTAAGATGCTCTCCATGATGTTGCCATGTTGTTTTCTTTCCTTCGAGCATGCTTCTCCCCAGGGTCAACCCTCTGTTTATTTTCTCCTTGCCCCAGCCCTTAGTGTGCGTGATTGTTGGCTCAACGTCTTCCCACCTCTCAATATCTATCCCTGATGTCCCTTTTGCAGACATCCTTGAAATGAAGATGCGATTGAACTCATGTGCTCTAGCCAGTGGCCAGTTCTCTTTATAGAATGACATCAGAACCCTCCCATCAGTAGACTGTTTCTTCTCATGTTTAGCTATCATGGTAGAATGTCTTGGGCAGGGTTTTATGAGGAATTCTGCCTGATGATTGTTGATACATGAAACTCTGAGTAGTGAATTTTGGTATTGATTAGTGATGGGACAATTAATCAGAATCAGAAATATCGGTACGTTTTGGGGTATCGGAATCAGAGAATTTTTAATCTAATTTCCAATTTCAAAAACAATTCTTTGGATTTTCCTTTGTTTAAAACTGTTTTAAAATCTATAGATCATAATAACACTGAAATTAAGTATGATATAAATTTATTTAAAAATGAAAAAAAAAGAAATGGATAAGTTTCTACTCAGTTCTTGAACTTTTCATAAAGTTCGCTAGTTTAAAGTCTGTTTTTATTTTTAATTTCCTTTTAAGCATTGTTAATTCACCCATTTAACATTACAAATTATTAATTTAATAATTATAATTACAATTATGTAATATGAACACGAAATGAATTCATGATGTTCTGCCAGACTCTTTTAAGATTAATTTTTTTTTTTAATTTATAAAAAAGAAAACAAAAAAAAAAAGAATGTGTGGAATTCCTGCCAATGTCACATTTGATTTCTTCACAGAAAAAAATTGCCCTGAATTGTCCCCCGTGATGAGGCAGTTAAATTACAACAATTTGTTTTTATAATAGTTTTAATCCATAAAATCCTTTTTAGTCTCAGTTATTGAAAAGATTTTTTTTTTTTATGTGTAGCATACTACGTAAACAAAAATAATTCTTTTCAATAACTGAGCCGTAAAAAAACTAAACATTCTTTTTATGAAACTTAAATTAGTTTCTACAAAATTCATTAATTTTGTAGCTTTTGAAACAGTTTTTCTAAAAAAAAAAAAAAAAAAAAAAAAACAAAAAAAAAACAAACTTTTTATTTGAAGTTTCCTGAAAAAAAGTTTTTTCACACAAAAATTTGTATTAAAAAACCTAAAATTTAAATTTCATTAAAATTGTATTTGATTTTATTTTACTAATATTTTTCTTTGGCATAACTGAATTTTCCTGTGTTAAATTATTATGGCATTTAAAATATTTTGAACTTTTTTTTTCATTTATTCCTTCTCGGAGCCAAACGAGATGGAAATTTTATAAGTAGAAGCGTATAAAAAAAAAAAAGTTAAAAAAAAATATTTTTATTCCATTTTTATCTTGCGTGATTAAGCTATAGTTTTTTCCACTTTTAACATAATTTGTTTTAATATCTTTAAAATAAAACTAATAAAATTTCATCTTCTGATAATCTAATAAATAACTGAAAAAAAAAATTGATCCCATGCAAAAAAAATACACATTTACAGTTGTTCTCATCTTATGAAGATTTTAATTTTTTAATATTTTAATATTTTGTAACATTTGAATCTCATACCTTATAAAATGATCAAGTTTCTTTTAAAAAAAAAAAAAAAAAAAAAAAGGGATAAAAATCAAAGGGTTTTTAAATTTGTTGCACTTTTACTCTTAACAAAAATAAACACTTTTTGATTCTTTTTAGAAATTAATTTTTTTAGTTGTGAGAAATTTATTTTAGACAGTAAAACTTATTAGTGATTAAAAGTTTTAGATAAGATTAAAGACACTTTATCATTTATTTATTAACTTGCTGTGATAATTTATATTTAATTATTATTAAACGTCTGTAAGCAAACTTAAAATTTGATTTCTTTTTTTATTCACTGTCCTGCAGAATTAGATATTCATTGTCCTTTATCAAAATATATGCACAAGTTAAACCACAATACATAGGATGATGCCTTTCTGCATAGAGCATTATTGCTGCAATATTATATATATATATTATATAAAATACCTAAAAGGTTAATGGTTAGAGTTGAATCAGACCAGGAAACAGTAGTATAAGAAGTGCTCGATACACATGTGAAAAAAATAAAATAAAAATAACATATAGAGTTTTAAACTTAGGATGTCAGATAGAATATGTGACCTTGGTTTTGACCTCACAAGGGTGTTTCTTATTTTTGAAGTGCATGCTAAAATTGAATTGTCACACCTAAATTTGTTCCATTCATTGAAAACTGATACATATAAAATTTTAAGGAGATTGCATAATATTTAGAGGGTGCCTTTATTTGTTAAAACTTAAAAGGTGGACAAAAAAAAATATAAAAAGACCCCTTTTAATGCAAAGAAATTGTTCTCATTATTGTTTAAATTTTTTTTAAATAAAAAGTACATCTAACTTTATTTCATAAGCTTTTGTATTAATTTTTCTACTAAATGTTTTATTAATAAATCTACTTTGTTCATTAAGTTTCCCAAATCAACAGTAGGGCCTGAAAATAAGGAAATTTAATCATTGTAGGTATCGTAATTGGAAATCATATTGGAATCGGAAATTTAGAACAGTATTGAGAATTGTACCGGAATCGGTAAAAATATTGGTATTGTACCATCACTAGTATTGATATTATTATATTTAGGCTCTGCTGACTTTGCCAGCTTATTTTACTTTTAGCTTTTATTCTTACTATTTATGTGTGTGTGTGTGTGTGTGTATATATACAAGACTTTTCACAGTGTCGCCCACGTGACGACAACGTGACCATGTTAAAACGGAACGCTGATCTTATAAAACTTTCAGTTGTCTGTTTGGATAAGTCTTGTTCATATGTCCATTGTCTTTGTCATGTTGAATTGATAATGTTAATTATATTTTATGAATATGTCCTGAAGATGGATTATTAGACCAAAACGTCCGACGTTGACATTATATTAACATTAAAACAGCATAATTGCATATGAGGATTTTTGTTTGTTTTTTTTTATATATATATATATATATATATATATATATATATATAAATATATATATATATATATATATATATATATATATATAAAATTCCCAAATCCTGATGCAAGAAAAATAACATTTTTAGCCAAAAGTTTTGAACATTCTAAGAAGGATCAAAACTATAATTTAATAACCAAATCCTCTAGTTTTTTTTTGCTTAATAATTACAAAGCTTTTGACATAAAACTTTGTTTTTATTAAGTTTGGGGTATTTTCTTTCATCTTGGTATTCTCATTTTTTTTTAGCGAATCTGTAGAGGTACATACCTTTTTTCTAGTTTCTAAAACCAAGAAAATGTCTGATAAGGTGACATTGACATTTATTTTATGCCAACAACACATTCCACTATCCAATGAAAGAAGAAAAAAGTAAGTGAAATTTTCTTTCACTTACTTTTTTCTTCTTTCATTGGATAGTGGAATGTGTTGGTGGCATAAAATAGATGTCAATGTCACCTTATCAGACATTTTCTTGGTTTTAGTTTTTTAAAATTTGTATTCAATTAAAAAAAGACAAACAAAACAAAACAACTTTGTTCTGTCATTAGTATTGAATTTATTAGTATTGAATTTATTAGTATTGAATTTATTAATAAAAAAAACAAAAACAAAGTCAGTTGTTTTTTTTTTGGAATGATGGGTAAAAAAAAAAAAAAAAAAAATCTGTAGCCCTGCAGTTTAACACAACAATTTATTAGGAAACTTTACTTAGGACCTATTGAATTTCCTGGGGCTGGCTGACTGCATACATGTATACATACGCACACATTATTAAAATAAGGTATGTAGCTAAATTCTGATCTAGAATTTTCAATGTATAATATCTGCCCCAAGTGATAAGTAGAGAACTGCTGAGTTTCTGTTGAAAACTAAATCGCTCCTAATTAGTCTATGTACTTACTGATGTAATTATGTAAGTAATTTAGTAAATAAACTTACTGTTTTGCTTGGTTGACATGCACTTGCAAAGTTGTACTCAACCATCGATACGTCACCTGTAAAAAGAAAAAAGTAACAGGCATGATTCACTTTAGTATTAAGAAAATTACTTCTGTTCTGGTTTGAATCACAGACTTTGATCTCAGAAGAATCCAAAAATAAACAAATTAAAAAAAAGAGAGAGAGAATTAGACAAAAGTGACATATAAGAAGTGAAACTGAAGAGGTTTAAGGAAATTGCTGAGGTCGTATGTGCAATTTAGGAATAAGAGATAAAGAAATACAGAAATGTTGAGAATAAACAACCAAAACAAAAGAAATTCTATTCTTTAGTTTTCAATAATGGATTTTCCATTAATAGTAAGAACAATGAAAATTTTATGATAATTTTAATTTAGGTATTAAGGAATTAATAGATTTTAATAAAAGATAAAGAATTTTTATTCTTTAGTTTTAAATACTAGCAAGAGACAGCAAAATACTATATATTTTCTTTAAAGTATTCTTTTTCCTTTTTATATCTAATAACAATTAACTAATTTGCTCCTTTAAATCACTTTCATTTTTAGTAATACGAGTTTGGGAACTTTCAAAAATTGATGGGACTATTTACAAAAAAATTGGCAATTAGTTTTATTCAATCTTATTTTCATTGCTCTCCATCCCAACACTGGCTCTATACACTCTTCATTATTACTATTATTTTATTACTAGTTTTATTCCATCTTATTATTGTTGCTTTCTATCCTAACATTCTGCCTCAATACACTTTTCATTATTACTATTATTTTATTACTAGTTTTATTCCATCTTATTATTGTTGCTTTCTATCCTAACATTCTGCCTCAATACACTTTTCATTATTACTATTATTTTATTACTAGTTTTATTCTATCTTATTATTGTTGCTTTCTATCCTAACATTCTGCCTCAATACACTTTTCATTATTACTATTATTTTATTACTAGTTTTATTCCATCTTATTATTGTTGCTTTCTATCCTAACATTCTGCCTCAATACACTTTTCATTATTACTATTATTTTATTACTAGTTTTATTCCATCTTATTATTGTTGCTTTTTATCCCAACATTCTGCCTCAATACACTTTTTTATTATTATTTATTTTATTACTAGTTTTATTCCATCTTATTATTGTTGCTTTTTATCCCAACACACTGGCTCTATACACTCTTCATTATTACTATTATTTTATTACTAGTTTTATTCCATCTTATTATTGTTGCTTTCTATCCTAACATTCTGCCTCAATACACTTTTCATTATTACTATTATTTTATTACTAGTTTTATTCCATCTTATTATTGTTGCTTTTTATCCCAACACACTGGCTCTATACACTCTTCATTATTACTATTATTTTATTACTAGTTTTATTCCATCTTATTATTGTTACTTTTTTATCTTTGCACTGTGTCAGAGTGTTAAATTCTTCAAGCCTACTTTCCTCATTTATTTTTTTTTTTTGTTCCAAAAGTTTCAGTGGTCTTTTTCCGATTTTCATCAACAGTTTTTTTATAGTTTCAATTCTACTTAGAACTGTTATTGTCATTCTAACACAGTCAATGGATAAACAAAAATAGTGAATTCTATATAGTGATTTTCTTAAGACTTAGCATGAGCAAAACAAATTCTTGAATTTGGATTAAAAAAAAAAAAAATAAAAGACCTCCAGAGTGACATTAAAATCCACAATTTTTTTCATTCTTTAATATTTAGATGGGCTTAGTAATTTGTAATGTATGTAAAGGTAAGTAGAAAAAAAGGAGTTCTCCAATCAAGCTTACTCCTCCCTAGCAAGGGAGGTTGGGGGGTAGTATGCACTATCAGAGGGAGAGAGAGAAAGTGTGTGAGGTGGGGGTGAAGGTTTATTGTCAAAGAAATATAAGGTATTGATTTCACTCTTCTAAATAATTCTGGCAGAGCAAACACTGAATTACCTCCCTTACATTTCTCTAACTAGCCTCATATTCCAATTCCTTTGAATTTGAAAAGTCATGCATCAAAAATTTCATCTTTGGAGATGATAAATTCAGTTTATATGAGATGATATTCTCAACCAATAAGGTCAATGTACTGAAGAAAATGGCAACATAGATCCAAGCTCAAAGGGCTATCATGTCACATGCTATTTGGGAAGTGGGAGCATATATGTCTCTCCATTGGATGAGGTCAAGAAAAAAAGTAAATTTCAACCAGCGAGTAAATTCAAGCTCTCCCAACTGGTATTTCAAACTTGAGTCGTTCCTTCCTGAGTTCTGTCTCAAAATCACACTAACTGACCGTTCTAGCCGTCAACCGTGAACGTCCCTCGAAGAACTCGCCGACTTGGGAAAAAAGTAATTGTTTTTATAGTTGTTCATATACCCATAATCCCTTGCGTCTTCCTGTGATCCCATAATTCATTGCGTCCATGTCCCATAATGCATTGCGTCCATGTCCCATTGCATTGCATCGTTATTGGAAAAATGCGATGCCAGTCCCCCTCATTCTTTTATATGTTATCTGGCCGAGGATGGATTACGTCAGAGCGGTAAGTGCTTTTTTTCTCCCTCATTTCAACTGCAGTAGCTTTACATGCTAAGCAAATACGGGCTCTTTTTGGCGGGGACAAGGCAATGTTGCGACCAGTTGTGCTCGTCCCAGGTTCTGTCTCATGTCCGCCACAGGTTCTCCATTAAAGTTGTAGACAACACATATTTTTGAAACTATCTCCTTTTTGGGGTTGCACTTAATTCATATAGATCGAATATTACATATTGTATATTTCAGATAAAAAGGCATTATTGATTCGCATCGTATATCTTTGGCCAGAGCACTTCTCAAGTGAAAAATGCCTGGCCCCAGGATTCTATCTCTGTTGAGTTTAAGCATACATTCACATTTGAAATATTTAAATGCAACATTTAAAACCACCCGTGATATTTATAGTAGCAGCTGCAATTTCAGGCTAACACTATATGGCGCCGCAGTTACTTTATATGAAACTAATTCGCCTGGGACAAATAAAATGGATTGTTAAAGAAAATAATAGCCTCAAAAGTCAAAGGATTGAAGAAAAAGAAATTTGTCTTGATTTTTGAATATAGAATGATACACGTTCTGTCAAATCATCGCCAAATAAAGTAATTGCTTGTTATTTTATTAAATTCAGATATCCAAATTTATTTGCTTTTATAACAATATGTTCCAGATTTGGGTTTGACATTTTTATTTAAAAATAGTGAATATCATTTTCGCAACAAATTTGTAAGTTATTTCAGCACTATAAAGATTTTATTAAGTAAAATCGAAACATGCGACATTATATCTAAATAAATCAAGTTAGGAAAACAACTATACAAGTTTGTATTAAAAAAAGGGAACAAAAACTCATTAAGTGAACTATCTCAGTAAAATAAAATGTACGATGTCTGTCTGAAAAGTAACGTAACTGGGTGGGCTCTGTTAGCTATTGCAAAAAAAAAAAAAAATAATTTTTTATTTCATTTACCTTATCATATACCTAGGTGGCAGTGGGCATGTATCCATTTTTTTAACCACTGAATTTTTTTTTTTTTTTTTGTGGCAAGACAAATCGTGGTTGTTTCAACACGACAATGAACCTGAGCATCCGACAGTTCGTTTTTTTTACGAGAAGAACATCGTCGTACTGGAACAACCTCTCTATTCATCTGATTTTGTTCGGTATTAATTTTTCTTTTGTTAATTCACAATATATTCAATGGAATGTTTTTCAAAAGCGTGGAGGGCCATAACAATGAAGCTGCTAGGGAAGAAAGAATCCTTCCAGCAGTGCATATTAAAAAGAATTAACCTTCAAAGAAGATGGAATAGTGCATTTGACTCGAGAGGATTTATTTGAAAGGGAAACCATGAGTTTATTGTTTGGAATTGAAATAAATTGTTTGAACAAAGTCTCGTTAAAATTTTCAAACTTTCTTTGTATTTCATGACTGTAAATACTTTAAACTTAACTGGAATAACATGTTTGGTTTTAATAAATTTGAATAAATCATAAATTTACAAATGAATATTTAAAAGGGGCATAAAATTGATTTGAAGGAAATAAAATTCCTAGGTGGTCAAAATCAAAAATCAATTTCGTAACGATTTTCAAAATTATATGACTGGATATCTTTTAAAAAATTAATGTATATAAGGTGTATGCACATTTTAGATGTATAACGCAATAGGTAAAATTCCTGGTGTACCAGAAACTGAATATCATTTGATTTTTAATTATTAAAAACAACAAAGATGAGGTTCTTAAACCAAATTAACCCTTTTCAGTCTTTCTTAAGCAAAAACATACCAGGAATATATGAATTCCAGACCAACATCAGTGGCACGTGAAAATTGCAGTCTCCCCAAACAAGTAAAGGACTTAACTGATTGATTGAAGATGGTAACATTGAATTAAATTTTCCCAATTCAATGCTTGTTCCATTTAAACTGTCAGATGGGTTGTCGACTTTAAAGACAATATTATTTTTTCATAACAATATCGGTTACTTGACTCACAGGGCCAGAAAACATTCTATGTTAAGTATTTAAAATGTAGCTCCCTATGGGTTTTTTTGCTATTTTCCAGCTCACTTTCAATAGACTGTTCAGTTCTTGTGCAGATATAATCACGTAAAAAGATATGAATGTAAAATAAAAGTTGGTACCGGCTCAGTAATGATGTTGGATGTGTTTTGTAGGAGGTCACACCACAGGTGAAGATAGAGTTTGTCAGGAAAAATGAGACCATTTGCAGCCCTTCGTATGGGCCATGGTTTTCCACTGACAATAATTTGTTCTTGCAAGATAATGGAAACCTGTGCGCTAGTTTTCACCAAATGTAACTCCGTAAAGCATGTGTCAAACACATTTCAATTTTTCCAGCTAAATTGTCTTACATATTTAAAAACAACTCGTTATAGACAATCCTATAACAATGCCACTTCTGTGTGCTTCTACTTTCCAGATAAAGTAAGGAATTATACGTTAGTACCTCTGGTTTAATTAGCATATGAACTAGATTTTGAA